GCCTGACCCTCACCGCGCCCCGCCCCACTTGATAGCGGGGGGCAAGGCGCTTACGCAATGGAAGGGGGTCGTCAACGACGACATCTTGGGCCCGCTTGACCCCGCACCTTTTAGGGGCGTGAGTTAAGCTAGAGTTAGTCGTCTCAGACAGTGAGACGACGAGATAGTTACGGTGAGGTGGTCGCAGCTTTAGACGACGATAACCTCTCTGTCAGACAACTAGCCTCACGTCTAACAATATTGTGATTGTGAGAGTGAGAAACTTAGTTACATTGAAAGCATGAGAAATAAAACAAAGCAAAAGAAAAGTTATGAAACGCATAAATAATACAACAAAAGAACGTGTGGACAAAAGAACGGGCAGACACAAGTGCCAACATATGTTGGCGAAAGGCAGGTAAGCAAAAGTGGAAAAGTGACGTAATATACCGGATGCCAGGCACAACACGTTTTCTAACGTTCTACCGAAAGTATAATACATAGGCAAAAACTATTTTAAAATGTGTAATAATAATAATATTAACAATAAATATTATACCATTATTAATAATAACATAATAATAAAGACGTCAATCCATAAATCAATATCAGTACACTGAGATTGCCAGAAAGGTCACCAGCCAACCAATTAAGGGAGGTCACCCCACAGGCGAGTGGTGGATGGGCGAGGAAAGTGCGAAGTAATTACAATTGGACACAAATACAGACTCCCGCTAAGTTGCAGTGGACGAGGATGTTCTTACCGCTGGGCTTTAGATAGTACTTCGTTTTTTGGATACCATGCGAGAGTTTTATCTGAACGCTGAGGAAGGCGACTCACTCTCACATGTTTATAATATTCAACCGACCATCTAACGACATTTAAGGCTTTCGATGAGCAGCAACATAATGTGCTGATAGTGAGGCCATACAAATTCGGACTGATATGGTGCTCAGACAGAATTTCCAGGACTGCTTGCATTGCACTTTCCCTGCCTAGACCCGAGGCAAATTCGCAGAAATGTAAGCTTGCTGTGAATGGAGCGTTTAATAGTCACGGGGACTAGGACAACTGAAGACGAATTTGCTTTCAATATGCCGAAATCGCTAGTCGGACATGGAATATTCTTACAGACATACTTTATTATTGGAAAACACTCTATATTACAAGTAGGGAACGGTAATAGGAAGTTCGGCTATACGGTCGATGCGGTAGCCGTTGCAGAACAAGTGTTGAGGTAGGCGAATCGGGAAGGGAGCTCGGCTGCTGTTAAAGACACAGTTCACGTAGTATTGGGAAATCGAAATTATGACGTAAAATGAAAGATAAGATGAAAAAATGTGATGAAGACGAAGGAACTGAGTGAATCGGCGTTTCCAAAGCGAAAAGAGGCTTCGAAAAATCGTTAAAAAGGGGCTGGAAGAGAATGAGACCAGAAGAATAAAGAAGAGTGGGGTGTTTAGACTAGCTACAATGCGAGTCATTGCGTAAGTGTGGGTCCTGGTGCAAATAACTTACTATGGTAAACCAAAATTCATTCACTCATAAGCTAAGTGGACAAAAAAAAGCTGAGAACAGCAAGAATAGCTCACCTCTTTCAGCCTCTTGGGGTAGGAAATTAAATAAGGGATCGCGGCAGCAAAAAGAATAACAGAGCTAAAAAGAATGGGAGAAAAAAATTGCTTCATCACTCGAAGATCAGCTGATTGTGTGTGTGTGTCCTAGAACGAATAATTGCAATGTGTATCGCCTCGTCTGGCGTGACATCGATCGAGGGGCGGGAAGACCGCGCGAGTCGCGAGCTTCCCACTAATCGTCGAGTTTTTGGGCGCGAGAGGGTCCATTCATTATCACCTTTGGGGGACACTGAGTATTCCTAGGGAAAGAACCAAGTTACCATTTTTATCTGAACCGTGCCTCTAAGTAGCAAGAACACCACAGTTTAATGGTAACTCCGGGAGCTTGCCAATCCTTTATTTTGACAAAAGACATCTTTAACTGCTCATTAGTTTTCTGATAAATCCTCGAGAGGTTCTCCTCCTCTATATTTTTTTCCCTTTTCATAACATCACCTTTTTGGGCGCTCTTCCCATGCGTACCAAGTGCATACGTGCAGGAAACTGCCCGTTGCTTTCACAATTCTTCGCTCTATCAATGCGGTGATTGTTGTTAACGCTACCTGACATATTCGCTCTACATCAAATACTTCTAACGAACCATGCTGTTAGATGAACAAAGTGGAATAACCCCATACAAAAACAAACTTAGAAAGAGTAGATAACCTTTAAAGTAGCAGAACAAAAGAAGAAAGAGAAATCACATAGTACCCATAAAAGCACAGCGAAGAAGCATATATACAAAACCCGTTAACTGCAAATCAACGATCAAACCGGACGCAAAGAACAAAAACATCTTGTGCCATCTTCCCGATACAGACTTCGACACATTCCAAACATAAGAACCTCCATATCCTTAGCATTCGCACAGATATCAGATAGGAACGGTGATATTTCATCTAGGGTCCACAGTTTCTGCATTGAAAACAGCAAATCCAACCTTAATGAAAGTTGAAGTAAGAAACCGTGTGGAGAAATAGGAAACCTTTTGCATGGTTCACAAATTGTAACATTCGAAAAACTTAGAAGTGCTAAAATACCGCGCTCTAGGGTTCTCTGGAAGGTCTTCAACATTCAGGTACGAGATAAATTTTCCTCTGACGTTTTCGGAATAAACACATACGCCGCGAAGATGATATGGCCTGTAAAGTAACAGGTTAGCATAAGAGTGGGCAGCGAATTCTCAGAACAACGAGGAAAACGGAATCGCTTGAGTTGGAAAATGCCCTTTTTGTTTACGAATCCTCCAAAAAGCAATGCACTGTTTGCCTTCCCAATAATTAACATCTTGACAACTTACTCCATTTTTATTCCAACAGGTAGCATTTCATCGAGTAGTTTTTCGAATGTGCACATTTCAAATTTCGCAGCAGCTCTTAAAAGTTGAGCAGCTCGAGCGCGAACAAATGGCTCCGGATTGAGATTGAAATCTGAATTTTTTTTACTATAAAACGGGTAAATGAAAATACATACAGAACGCTGGGATATTCACCTTCTTGATCTGTTTTTATACACATTTTCTTGAGGAACCAGTCAATTATGTCATGAGTGATATTCTCTGGTAGAAAATCGCGAAGAGCTGAGGCTGTGAGGTGAGTTATGTTGATTGATGGCACATTAAGATCATCAAATGCTTCGACAATCAAGTTGAAAAAGCGATCCTGCAAATCGTTGGACAACCAGCGCAGTCTTCCTGTGAATAAATATATTTCTGCAAGTATGTCGCTTTTGAAGGAGTTTTCCCTCAGAAAACCAACTAACTGTAGTTGTACCGAGCTCCCACTTTTCAGACGACATACCGTTATGATTCACGACTGGCATATCACTCAAAGCTTGAAGCAATTCTCCTTCACTCATCTGCACATGGTTTAGGAGCGTTTCCATTGAATACCTGAATACAAAACCTCATAAAACCACCAAATACTTACGAAGACAAAATTGATATAATTTATCATACGTGTCATTTGGCGAATCATTCAAAGGCCAGTCCCAAGGAAGTCTATTGAGCTGTAACAAATCTCGAAGCCTCCGAATGGAGACACATGGAATTTTTTGCAGTTCCAGATAGTGATGAGAAATAGTGTTGACCTGAAGCAAAATTAGAAGGAGCAGCATTTGGGAAGAGAAAAAGAACAGTGATCGACTACCAGCACTCACAGGAGTAATTGTGAGAAACTTCTCTCCTGCTTTTTCAACATCCGTTCTGGTTTTCAACGACGGTAGTACCAATAAAGAGTTTGATGTTTCAACTTCTTTCACAGAATATGTCGAAGACGGCGTACAAAGAACCACTTCGTCTTCGCGTTCACCACGGAACACAAGTCTCGAAAAAACACAAATCGAACCATGCATGTAGCACTTTATCTACCCATATTTTCTCAATAAACTTACTTATCTCCTGATTTCACACTGCTCAAAATTTCTTTCGGTAACTGCACAAGTTTATAGTCGTGCAGAGGAAATTTCTTAGTGAACTGCAATTGTTGGACTTCGGCCTGAATTTCGAAAGGAAATCATAGAAGTAGATAATCGGATGAAAGTAAGAAGCTATAGTTCTCACCTTTACACCTTCTTCCTCACGGACAACCTTGAAAAGAGCGATAACGTCTTCCAAAGTAGGCTCCTTTGAAAGATGATTTACAATGCGAGCACGAGCTATTCGTTCCTGAATCAACATCACAATCAGCCTATCGACCCATCAACTAAATAAGAAGATATGAAAGCATAACACTCACCGCCCCAAGCGGGGACTGTTCATTAATCACTTTTGGTTTTGGTGTTTTCTTCACAAAACTGTCCATCAGGAAATCCCTGTAACTACTTCAGTAGGTATCAAGTAAACGAATCAACTCGAACGAGTGCAAGTAAATCACACAAGTGAAATATACGGCCCCTAAAGTAAGGCCATAAAAGCTCACAAGTATTTCAAACACTAAAATTTCGCGCGCACCATGAAAAGTTGGCAACGCAGCTCGTCCACATTCACCTGCCCACTGGAGCAGTGGACAAAGTAAATTTATAAAGTAAGGTCAGCTGAGATTACTGAGGAAAACGGGCTTGTTATTCAGCAGAAAGCTAAGCGATCGCGATTGATTTAGGCTTTCGACTTCAACATAGTCATAGGGAAAAGGTAACGTTCATGTCATCCCTGTTTTATGAGAAGTGCAGTTTCAAAGGGCATTATGGAAGCCCTAACTCTAGTTTAATTTCTAACGTTATTGCTGCTTGAGGAATATTCTATTGCGCTTGCTTTCTTCAGATCTTCTTTTTTCGGGTGGATTTCTAGAAAACGGAAGTGAGCTAGAAGTAGTTTCGAATTCGTGAA